CAGGAGGGGCAGGTGTGCAGGCCCTCCAGGCCTTGGATGGCGTGCTGAAACGGAACTCTGCTTGGGGGCACTGGGGAGCCATGGGTGGTTTGGGAGCTGGGCAGTAGGCAGTCTCGTCAAGATGCTTAGTGGCACAGACCTCTCAAAAGGTCTGTGCTTAGTGGCACCCGGGAGAGGAGTGGGCACGAGATGTGGCGGGTGAGGCGCTGGAGGGCAGTGTGACCTGTGTCCTCAGCACCAGGGCTGGCCGGGAGCCAGGAAACAGCCTGACACACATGGGCTGGGCCCTGGAGGCAAGCACCCCGTGGTGGCTGAGGCACCGAGAAGGGACCCAGGGCACAGAGTGGTGAAAGCACTGCCGGAGGGTGAGGGAGGCAGGCGCAGGGAACAGGTCCTGGAAGGCCGCACTAGCTCATCCACCCCAGGGAATCCAGGCTGAGAACCAGCGGTGCCACCGACGGCTGCGAGCAAACCAGAGGCTCCGAGACCCCTCAGCCAGGGGCGCCCCACAGCGCATGCTGCACCCGGAAGCATGTGCAAGATCTGATCAGCTCATCAGTGGGAAGGTGAAGGCTTATGACTTAACAATTAGTATTGTTATTTAATAATAATTATTACTTAACAATAAACCCAAACACGCATGAGAGGACTGCCCAGTTTCCTCTGCCCAAGGCTGTGGACTCCCCAAGCACGAAAGGAGGAGGAGGCAGAGCTGGTGGGAGGCCAGCGCAGCTCCGCCCAGGACCTGCCACATGACCAGGGCTTGGCTGGCAGGGTGAGGCTCCAGGACTGTGTGGCTCCCTGGTGCCAGACCTCAGGCTCCTGACTCCAAGGCCACTCTGGGCTGGGAGAAGGAGGTGGCCTTCTGGCCGCTGACCCCTCTATGGCCCACTCCCAAGCCCCAGCATACCCCCACAAAGCAGCCTCTGGGGTTCCCTGCTCTGTTGCCCCCACACCCACCTCTAACCCCACTCTTCGGAGCCCAGAGGTGAAGCCTAAGAGCGTGGGTCTGAATCCTGACTGCCGCGAGCTGGCTGTGTGAACTCAGGCAAGTCACTTACCTCCCTGTGCCTCAGGCGCTCATCTACAGGGCCCTAAGTACCCACTGGGGCTGTGGAGGGCTGGATGGTCAGCACCGTGCCTGGCACCCAGGGAGTGCTCGGTTAGGCCCTGCTTGTGCTGTGGTCCTCCACCCAGCAGCCAGACGGGACTTAAGACAAGTACCCCGAGCACAGCAATGCTCCCCAACCCCTTCCCAAGACTCCCACTGCTCCACACAGGGGTCTGCTCCGGCTCCCTGTGCTGGCACCTCTCAACCCTTGCTCCGCCCGCGGCCCTGGAGGCCCCTGGGCCCTGCCCTCACGCCCGCGAGTCACCGCTCCCTGGACTTATCAAACCTGCCTAGCCCCCAGCAGCCCAGCCCCGGACCAGCAGCTCCTCTCCCAGGGCTTCAGCCCGTGGGACTAAATGAAGGCCCCTCTGCGCAAACCCCCCCCATGGGGCGCCCGCCACAGGGCGCCCACCGCAGCGCAGTCGATGAGAACAAAACCAGCTGGATGTCCGTTATGGGTACAGGTGAGGAAGCCAAGGACCCTGGCTACTGTCTGGCTGCTGTCTGGCTGCTGGCAGGACACAGAGCAGATTACAACAAACTATTCTCATTTATGAAAGTACGGATCAGTGGTTGCCTGGGGCGGGGCGGGCTGGGGAGTAGCTGAGAATCAGCCTGAGTGAGCTGGGGTAATGACAATGCTTTTCAACTGGCTGGTGATTTCACCCAACTTGGGAAATTTAATGAAACTCATTGAATTGTACACTTAAAATGGATAAATCTTATGACAGATGAATTATACCTCAATAAAGCTGTTTCTAAAAGGGGATCAAGAGTGTGCAGGTAGCCCGGCCAGTGTGGCTCAGTGGACTGAGAGGTCCTGGTTCGATTACCGGTCAGGGCACATGTCCGGGTTTCGGGCTCGATCCCCATTGGGGGCATGCAGGAGGTGGCCAATCAATGTTTCTCTCTCACATCGATGTTTCTATCTCTCTCTCCCCTCCTCTCTAGAAAAATTTTTAGGAAAAACATATATGAGGCCCGGCTGGTGTGGCTCAGCAGTCGAGCATCGACTCTGCACCAAGAGGTCACCAGTTCAATTCCCGGTCAGGACACATGCCCAGGTTGTGGGCTCGATCCCCAGTGGGGGGCATGCAGGAGGCGGCCCACTGATGTTCTCCTTCATCGATGTTTCTATCTCTCTCCCTCTCCTTTCCTCTCTCTCTAAAATCAATAAAGAAAAAAAATAAGCCCTGGCCGGTTAGAGTGTCGGCCTGCGGTCCAGAGACCCGGGTTCAGTTCACGCTAAGGGCACATACCTCGGTTGCAGTTTGTCCCCAGCCCTGGTTGGGTCGTGCAGGTGGCAACCACTAGATGTTTCTCTCTCTCTCTCTCCCTCCCACTCTATCTGAACAAAAAATGAAAAAATGTCCTCGGGTGAGGATAAAAAAATATATATATGAGAAAAAAAATATGTACAGGAAATAACCCCCATGTAATTAACAGAGCTTATCTGTGGGAGTGGGTTTAAGGAAGGTTGAATTTTCTTCCTTTTGCTCACCCCTGCTTTCTCATTTTTCTATCATGCAAAGAGATTAGCTGTATAATTGGGGAAAGGAACAGAAAAGTCGGAAAGAAAACAAGAAATCCTCTGCTGCAGTGGGCAAACCTCACGTCCAACCCAGTGAGAGCCCTCCTGCCACGTGTGGCCAGCCGTGGTGGCTGTGTTGTGGCACTGTGGCAGCTCTGTGCTGTGCCACACGTGACCAGCCGTAGTGGCTCTGGGCAGTGGCTCTGTGTTGTGGCATCATGACAGCGTGGTGGCAGAGTGGCAGTGGGGGCAAACCTGCAGCCTCGAGGGGGGCTGGAGGAGCCAGGCCCCTCTGAGGCAGTGTCCCTTCTCCACCCACCCTTGCCGGAAGCCAGGGCCTGAGTCCTGACAGCGGCCCCTGAGCTTCCGCACTCACTGGCCATGATGAGCTGCAGCCCCGGACACCAGAGCAGGTGCAGGGAGGCTCCTCGTGGACTGAACCCCCCTAGCAGCTGGCAGTGGCTCGTCCATTTTTCCCCTCCCTGAGCTCAGGCAAGCCAGACAGGGCTCTGGGGCTGAATTCACCCCGGGGAGAGGTCCAAGTTGTTCCCTTTTCTCAGATTAGAGCTGGGCCCAGTCTGATCTCCAATTGCCCCCACCCCTAATGGCTGCCCAATCCTGGCCTTTGGGTCCTGGGGTTCGGGTCAGGAGAACATTTCTATACAGGTGTTAACAAGAAAGGTCTGTGCCAGACCTGAACCCAGATACACCTACTCTAATATGAAGGGAAGCATTTGAATACAGAGGGCACAACGGAGGATCAGGGCGTGAGGGCTTGTGCAGGATGGCAAACTGAGCAGTGTCCAGATTCAGGTCCTGACCCCAGCGCCCAGGTCTGTACCGCTTGGTCAAAGTGCCTTCCAGGCTCCACCCACTGAGCCCAGTACTTGTTAACTGAGTCAGGTCTGGAGCTTCCAGGACGCGGGCAGCAATCAGGGTCTCCCCTCTCGCCCTGTCCTAGCCTGGCCTCAGAGAAAGCAGGCTGATACGCCCCCAGCTGGGCTGACCTGCAAGGCTGAAGGAGATGCAACTGTAAAGCGAACCCCAGGCCAACAGACTTCACGGACATGTCCACCCAGGTTGTGGGAAGTTGGAGTCCTGAGCTCTTAGACTCAGTTTCCCTATTAACCAAGTGCAACTTAGCCGGTGTTGCTGAACCTAGACAGCAACCATGGGGGGCAAGTCGCTGGAGTTTCAGTGTGCCCGCCTACAGTGAGGCAACGACCTCCTAACGGGTACCTCCTACGCCACAGTCCCCAAACCCCTTCTCTGTGTAACTGGGGCGTGAAGGTTTCAAAGCTGTAAATAATCCAGCATGGCCACTGTCCCGCCCTGGCCGACAAGGCCGGGATCCTCTAGTCTACCGTCGCAACCTCACCTCTTGTGCATCCCTCCAACTCCTCCAGCTCCGCACCTTTGCCCTGGCTGTGCTGTGGCGGGGAAAACATCCTTCTCACCTGGCCCCAGAGGTGACCCTAGGTCTCAGCTGGGCCCTGGTCGGTGTGGCTCAGCGGTTAGAGCATCCGCCCGCAGACCCAACAGTCGCGGTTCGATTCCGGTCAAGGGCAGGTCAAGGGCACGTACCTCGGGTGCGGTCTGATCCCCGGCCCTGGTTCGGGTCCTGCGGGGGGCAACCAGTCCATGTGTTCCTCCCTCCCTCCCACTCTCTCTGAAAATAAACAGGACAATATCCTCAGGTGAGGATTTTAAAAGTCTGCTCGGAAAGGTCTTGCCCATCGCTGTACCCAAAGTAGCCCCACCTCCGCTCCACCCGAGGTGCAACTAAACATCCATATCCGTGTCGCCAGTTTCCCTGGGGAATCTCGGGCTCCCCAGAGGGAGGCAGCCCAGGTCTCCGACCCTCGAGTCCAGGATGGGCCTAGGGTCCCACAGATGCCAAAGTGCTGCGGGCCTTGAACTAGCTGAGCCGACTTGCGGGGAGCGGCGGGGGGACGAGCCGCGCGCACGCGCAAGAGCGCCAGCGCGGGGCTGAACTCTCGGCCCGAGGGAATGACCGTGAGTAACCCGCGGTGACGTCACGGCGGAGCAGGGGCGGGGCCCCGGCCACGCCTGAGTCCCGAGCTCCGGCCGCAGCCGCCACGGGGCTCAGGACTCCCCGGGCGCGCGGCGCAGGGCCCGGGACGCGCAGCCACGCACGTGTCGGGCCGCGAAGCCCAGGCCGGCGCGGCGCAGCCCGAGACGCCCAGCAGGCGCGGGGGCTCCGCGCGGACTGAGCGCAGCGCGCGCGCCGGAGACGCGGGGAGCCCCGCGGAGCCCCGCAGGCGGCACCCCGCGCGCAGCCCGGCGCCCGCCCCGCCCGAGACAAAGGCCGGGCGCCGCCCAGCCGGCCCGACGCACCTTCGATGTCCGTCAGCAGCGCCGCGTCCAGCGCGCACGGCTCGGCCAGCGCCTGCTCCAAGGCCGCCTCGGTGAAGGGCGGCTCGTCCATGGCGCGGTCCGCCTCGGGTCGGGCCCGGCCGGCACGCACTTTCGCCGCGAGCGCGCGTCCGCCGGCCCCGTCCGCACGCTCGCGTCCCGCCCTGGCCTCGGGGACGGCCCGGCCCCCGCGAAAAGTTCCTCGGAAACTGGGTTCCTCGGCCGCGGCTCGGCGAGGGCGGGCAGGGCGGGGGCGGGGCCTCGCCCGCAGGCCCCGCCCCGGAGCCGACGGCCCCGCCCCACCTGGACGGAGCGGTGACCCGGCCTCGGGTCGGCCCGAACCGGCGCTCCGCCTGCGCCCCCGCCCGCGCCCGCTCCACCTTCCGTCGGATCTGGTCTCCTGCGCAGCTGCCTCGGGCTGACTGCTGCGGGGCCCGGGCAGGCTCGCCCCGCTCGGCGCTTATTCCCACGGCGCCACGCAAGGGGCCGGATGGAAGCCCCCGGACTGGGCCCATCCCACAGGTCTCCGGGCTTGGCGGGAGGACGGAGGAGGAGGTGTCCGACAAACTTCACTTCTTAGATCTGGCTCTTTAGAACCGGACAGACCGGTCCAACGTGCACCCCAACAACTGCTGTGTGACGTCAGGCAGTTACATCACCACTCTGTGCCTTAGTTCCTCCGCTCTAACAGGAGCCTGATGATGCCTCTCCAAAGGTTGGCTGGGATGTTGGTGACGACATGGAGGGGGCTAGGCCTGTGAGATCAGCCTGTTCCTCTTTAGTCTCAGATCACATTGGCCTCCCTGCGGAGGTGAGGTGCCCAAGGGGAGCCTGGAAGAGGCTGACATGTTTGGTCCTGACTTAATGGCTTTCCTCCCAGATCCAGCTGTGGGGATGGCCGAAGGGCTAGGGGTCAGCTGGCCCAGTCCCCTAAGGTGGGCTGACCTCAGTACCCAGAAGGACTGGAAGACCCAGAGAGTTCTAAGGGTCCAGCCTACCCAACGTCACACAGCCACTCAGGGACAGCAACAGGGTTGGGCCCCAGAGCCGTCTGGCTCCAAATGGTGCTTATTGTCCTTGGGAACAGCCAGGAGGGGTCATGAGAAAGAGGCAGACTGTGCTTTAGACCTGAGACAGGTTGCTCTGATCATGACAGGCTGGGGCCTGGTCAGTGGGCTGGAGACGAGCCTGGGCCCAGTGGACTGGGACAGAGCTCAGTGGTAGGAGGGGGACTACAATGAGACGGATTGAAATAAACCAGAACATTCATTATCTGAAAACAGAAAGACAGTGAGCCGGCTCCCTATCCCTGGAGGTATGCAAGCAGAGAAAGACACCCTTGGTGGAGGGCAGCCAAGACTTATCAGAGGTCTGGACCCCAGTCCCTCTTTGCCTCTGGCCTCAGTGAGTCATGTCTCACTGCCTTGCTCAGATTCTAGATTTAGCCTGCCTGACCACATCCTCTGAGGGAGTAAAATTAGTGGCGTACTTTAGAAGGGGGGGTGCCCAGAGCCAAGAGAGGCCTTGAAGGCCCAAGTCCCTGAGGCTCAGCCTGGACACCCAGCTCTCTGTTCCCCTCCTGGAAGTAGCTGCTGTGGAAAATTACCCAGAATGGGTGGCCAGGAGCTGTGGGGGACTTCAAGGCACACCTCCCCTCCTGAAGTGGCCCTGCCCAGGAACCCATCCTGGGCCGGGCCCTCCAGAAGGCTTTGGCCATCCGGTGACTTTCCTGAAAAATTCTAGCAACCCTCCCCAGGGAGAGGAGTGGGGAGCAGAGGGGCCGCTGACTGAGCCTCTGCAGAGTCAGGAAGCTGGTGTTTCACCTCCTTGCTGTGTGATTTGGAACCACTTACTTCACCTTTCTGAGTCCCAGCTAGAATGAGAATAACCCTTCCTAGCATCACTCTGCAGGGGCAGGCAGGGTGTGTGGGAGCATGGCTCAGATAACACGCACGCTACCTGCAGGAGTTAGGGGAGAGAGGGTCAGGCCGACAGGAGACGCAGCCCAGACTAGAGAGGCAGTTGAGACTGAAGCCTGGTGGACACCTCTACACAAGAGGCGTGGGCAGGGGGTGGGCAGGGGCCTGTTAAATCTTTGCCACCAAAGATCCAGAACTGTGCTCTACAGCCTGAGCTGACCAGGGCAGTCCTCTAGGTGAGGACAGGGACAGCCAGGCTGGGAACTGCTGCTCTTCGGGGGAACCTGCTTCCCTTGGAAATCCCCAGACCAGCTCCCCAGGCCCCTCTTATAGGAGAGCTGAACTCACACAAGCAACAGTTGCCAGGGCACTGAGTGGCACAAGCCATGGTTGGGGACCCTCCTGGTGTGCCTAGAAGGGGCAGGGGTCCCCGCCTGGCCAACAGGGGAGCTGCAGGCTGCAGTCATAGAGTGTTGACTCATCAGCCCATTTAGCCCTCCCAGCAGCCGTAGGAGGAACTGGGCTGTGATCATTCTCAGTTCACAGATGTGGAAACCGAGGCAGGGGACGGTGGAGACCGCTGCCTGGAATCATGTCAGTGTGGGCAACCTGAGGAACTGGGCTGGCTTGTCATCCAGCAGGCCGAGGCAGGGCGGCCACTGGAGACCCAGGGGGATTTGAGGCACAGAGCCAGACAAGCCTCGCCCGGAAGGCCCCAGTACAGCCAATGGGCTCCCTGCCTGGAGTGGGGTGACATGGCATCAGGGAGAACTCCTGGGAGCCAGGCCCTGGGTCACATGCCTTGGGCCTGTTCAACCTGGGGGGTGGGGAGGGGCCATGGTGCTGGCTGGCAGGGTCTGGGGCCAGTTGGGCCTGCTTTCTCGGCAGGGCCTCCGGGCCCAACACCTGGCTGGGATCGCTGCCAGGTGTGTGCTGGACACTCAGGCAGGGCTGCTCCAGGCAGCCCCACCCTTTGCCCCAAGGCCCCCAGCCCTCAGGACTGTGGTCAAAAATCCTGGCTCCTCCCTGCATGACCTCAGCTTTGCCAACTGAAACAGAGGGTGACATCTTCCCCCTTCCTTCCCGGGCATTCTTGAGCACCTTGGAGACGGAGAGGCATCTTCTGTGAGCTCCAAGCCATTTGGGGCAGGTGTCCAGCACGGACAGGGGCTCTGCCAAGGCCATCAGTGCTGAGCCAGGCCCGCTATGGGCAGAGGGGCAGGCGGTGCCCAAGAAGGCTGGGCTTGGCCACCCTGGACATTGCTTGGGAGGCTACTGAGACCCCTCTCCACTCCTGGAGGCTCCCTGCCCGTGTACACCTCCTCCTGCCGCAGCCAAGTCAGACCTGCCCAGGTTCTGTCTGAGGGCCCCTGCAGCACAGACAGCCTGGAGCCCTGGGCTCTCCTCTCCCTCTCCAGCCGAACATCATGGCACTAGGCGGCTGTTGACATGGATGATTCTGGTCCTAGAGGACCCTGACTCTCATTCCATTGGCTGCCCTCTCCACCCCTCTGGGTCATCCCCAGGGTCATCATGAGTCACTCAGTAGACCCTCCACAAAGACCTGCTTGAACTCACACAAAGTCTTTTTTTTTTTTAGAGAGAGAGGGATAGAAACATGGATGTGAGAAAGATACATCGATCAGCTGCCTCCTGCACGCCCCCTAAGGGGAACGAAACCCACGACCCGGGCATGTGCCCTGACCGGGAATCAAACCAGGACCTCTCAGTCCGTGGGACCACACTCCATCCACTGAGCACACTGGCTGGGTGAACGCCAAAGTCTTACAGAATGAAGAATGAGGCTCACAGACATGATGAGTGAAGGGAGACATCTGTCCCCTGGGGACTAGCTGGCTATTTGGGGAGAAGCCAGGTGTAGGCTGAGGGGGTGTCACAGAATGGGGTGTCGAGTTGGTGGCAGGGAGACTGTATGGGAACCCCAGGCATCACCTGTCCCCAGCATACCTACGTCCTGCTTTCGAATTAATTGTACAGTATAGATTTCACCGGAAGGCTGCTTCCGGTGTTTCTGTAAAAATGGGACGATGGTCAACACTGGCCTGCACAGGGTCCCCCTCAGTTCCCGTGTATCCTTGCACCAAGCCCACTTCACGCACTGTAAGCGAGCATAATAAAAAGACCCCCGTTGGCAATGGGTTTACCCCCATGATCCCCTTTTACAGACCTGGAGAGTAAGACCCGAGAAGGACAGTGACTTGCTCAGGACTCCAGTGAGGCCTGCAGCCCCAGGCGGGGCTCCCAGAGCAGGCGTGGAGATGGCTCCCCACGGAGGGGTCCACCCAGCTTCCGGAACATCCCACTGACTGCCTAGTGCCTAGAGCAGGGATTCTGCTCCGGATGCTGAGGGCCTGGGCTGGGAGGGCCTGGCCAGAGCCTCCACCGGCCACCCAGACCTGGCAGGGGCTCCTCGGAAACACACTGGAATTACTGGGTGACTCATGCCTGTTGATGGCCTCTGGTTCTGCCCACCTCCACCTCCACCTCCTCAGGACTCAAAAGAGTCCCCTTTTTAGAAAAGAGGTGGGAAGGAAGAAGACTCCTCAGGTGCTTCCATGGGGGACGAGCCGGCAGGAGACCGTGAGCCATGACTGGCCCATGGGGCACCCACACGCCCGCCCGGAGCTCCGGACAGGAAGCTGTAGCTGGAGAGCAGCTCCCAGGAGCCTCGGCGGGCAGTCAGCCCAGGGCTGAGGGGGCACTGACACGGAGCCCAGAACGTGTCCCTGTGGGTGGCACTCATTGCTGGCCCTCTCCAGCACACTACATTGACCATATATTGTTCACGCCTCCCCAGACTTCTCCCTCCCCCTGCTGATAGTGGGTTCTGGGACTTCTGCGGAAGTGACTGGGAAAGTCCCCCTCCCCCTGCTGGTACTATTAGGCTGGAGCGGCAAGCAGCCTCCTCAACCAGAGGAGGCATCGCCTGAACACAGAGAGGCAGATCCCGACAGACCCTAAGCACCTGTATCCAGCTGTACCTGAAGCCGAACCACCTGAACCTCAGTTACATATGCCAATATATTCCCCCTTCTGATAAAATCAAAATCTTTCTGCCACAACCAAAAACAGTTCCCATATGCCAAATCTAAGCAAAGGGTCTGGGCAACAAACTACTCTTTTTTTTTTAAAT